TATTTCTGCCCACGATTATCTAATATTTGCTTTTCTGTACCGTGTTGTACCAGCTTGTTTCCTTCTGTCATAGTCCTCTTATTTTGGACGTTTTCTTGGTTTCTTGACGCCTTTTGGATACCACAGTGTAATTCTAGTGGACCATCTATGGTTAGTTCTTCTCGCTAAATGTCCCGCCCACTGCGATTTTAAAGATTGACCTTTGCGTGACTGAGTTTCGCTATTATCTCTTTCTTTAGTGTCCAAGTTTCGCAGCCGTATGGAGTGGCATCTTCGATTTGAATGTAATTGCATTTCTACCAAAAGATGCCTAAGTCAGGTTCATTCTTCTGTTGATTTCTGGGAGTAAGGAGCCAGATTTATGTATTAATTGTCCTAGATATATATACTCGTCTACTGTCTCCAGTGCAGTGTTGTTTATTATTATATCTTAGACATCCACTAGCTCGTTGTACATGGTTTTGTTTTTGTTAAGTTCATTTTTAGGCCAACTTCATTGCTAGCTGCATTTCATTTCGGTCGCTTATAAGTTCTTGTAATTCTGCAGGATTATTAGCAATCAGAATGATGTCGTCTGCAAACGTTAGATATCTGAAGTATTCTCCCTCCATGGATAGGCCTTTGTTTTGCCAATTCATTTTGCTGAATATATTTTCTAAAGTTGCAGTGAAGAGCTTTGGTGATATTGCTTCTCCTTGTCGGACGCCTCTGGTAGTGGGAAATTGTGAAGTGTTTTCATAAATTTTTACCTTAGTTTTACTTTTCTCTATATATTTGCTAAAGCCTCTATGTACGGTTTGTCAATGCCTTGGTTGGTCAAAGCTTCACTGCCTTGTGATATAGAATCGAAAGCCTTCTGAAATCTATAAGGTTAAAGGTTTACATTATAATTACATATATTCTGTAAGATTTAGCTTACTGAATCAGTGAAACAGATTCAATACTTTTGTCATGAATCACAATTGTACTTCGCAAAGGATTCTTTACACTGTTCATTTGTATACTCTTCCCGTATTCTTTCTGGTTTTTGCCTCTCATCGAAGTAGCTTCGTCTTCTACTAGTTTCATCAACGTTATCAATCGTTGGATATCATGTCGGTTGCCATATTCACTTTCATCGTCTTAAGTTTTGAAGCCATTACGTTTTTCTTCTACCAGGACCACCATTACCTTGGATCTTTCCTATATGATGATATGCAAAAATTCATATATTTTAGAGTGCCTCATAAAGTGTCCGGAAGTATTCCAATTTCACACTTCTACATCATATAGGAGTACTGAAAAGATATAACCGATATGCGTCATTCTAACTCGATGTAATTTTGTTTTATAACTATCTGTGTTGATTAAATTTTGAAGGTCTTCACTGCATTTAGCAGTTATATATTATTCACGTTAGCATTAACTACAATGTAACTTAACTCACCATAACACATGACTTAGCATAATTATTGTTTGGTAATTACTAAATTGAATGTCAAACATGGAAGTCAAGGATAGGAAATGAGGCGGAAAATAGTATTAACTATTAAAAGACGAAAACTTGAGTACTTGGGACAAGTGATGACAAGGCAAAAATACGCATTATTACAACTTATTATGCAGGGACAAAATCCGAGGAAAGCGAAATGTGGGGAAGACGAAGAATATCCTGGCTTAAGAACTTAAGGGAATGGTTTGAATGCAGTAGTGCAGAACTTTTTAGAGCGGCAGTCAACAGAGTCCGCATAGCCATGATGATTTCCAACCTTCGATAGAAGATGGAACTTAAAGAAGAAGAATTACTAAATGTTATTGGAGTTTCTTTGGTATTATGACAAAAGTCGATTAAGTCAATAGTTGGTAATATCCCTTCTTTTAGAAGTGCCTATCTTTTAGTGATGTTGTGATCACATTGATCCATTTTATTTTCACAGCAGCTCGAAATAGATCAGTTGACGCTAGATCAGTCCATTTCCTAAGATTGGCCAGCCAGGATATACGTCTGTGTCTGGGGCCTATCTTACTTAATATTTTAAGTAATATCTCAGTGTCATAAATTCTCCTAGCAACTTTAGTATTTTAACACTCGATTCATCGGGGCCGATACTATAGTTTTTCTACACATTTAATTGTTAGCTGATATCTAGTACTCTGTATCCCTCTTCCTCTTCTAGACTTTGAGATAGTTGCTTCGTTTGTTGCCAGCGATCTCTTTTAATTTCTTGTGTAGGTGAAAGGTATGGTAGATTATTTCCTATGAAATTGTGTTTTTCCATCTCTTTATCTTTCATGTGATTATTTCGGGGATTCTTTCTATCTTTGTTTTTAACTTTTCTTCTTTGGTCTATGAGCTCAGTGTTTCCTGTCATCCACCTTTGTTTTCTTTTTGTTTTTTCTTCCCTTAATCTTGATTCCTAAATATGTTAATATTTTTTTTATGATCTTCTACTTTTCCTCAATATCTTCCTTTGATTGGTGTCTACTTTATTTTTTCTTCTTGAATGTTTGTTATTTCTTATTTTACCGTATCATTTGCATTTCTTTATCACGAGTAACTCTGTGCATTTTCACCCTTGTAACCTGTTTTAATCTCACTCTGATCTTTTCCTATTAAGATATTGTGATTTGTCCGTATATCTGCACTTGGATAAGATTTTTATTACTGATTGTCTGTATCTTTTGTTTATTGACGTAACAAACCATTCTTTGCAGATATTCTAAAAATTTTCCTGGTGCTAAAGAAGATAATTTCTACTATTATTTCATCCACTGTCAAACCAAATAGAGGTATTAAGGCTATTCCTGTGTCTAATCTCATTGAAACTTAATCTTCTTCTTGTAGTGCCTATCCCTTTCGGATGTTGGCGACCATCATGGCAATCTGTATTTTGCAAACTGCTACTCTGAAAAGATTTGTGGTTGTTGTGTTGAACCACGTACGTAGATTTTTTAGCCAAGAAATCCTTCGCCTTCTGGTTCCCGTTTTTCTTCTACTTTTCCTTGTTGAATTAATTGCAGCAACCCATATCTTTGGGTCCTGGCAACATTTGCAGCAACGTCCTGGTTAGTAACGTGGTCGGTATAGAATATCTTCAGGATTCGACGATAAAGCCACATTTCGAAAGCCTCAATTTTCTTGCAGGTAGCGTCTGTCAGAGTCCACGACTCAACTTCGTATAACAGTATAGGAAAGATATAACATCGTAGTAAACTCTGCTTTTTATGGGTACTGATAAATCATGACATTTGAATAGCTTAGCCATTTTTTGAAATGCAGATCTTGCTTTCTCATGCTACATTTTATTTCTAAGGAATGGTCCCAATTTTGATTGACGTTCGTAACAGGGTAGGTGTATATTTTTACTCTTTCTATTGGTGGACCATTCACACTGATTCTTTCAATTTGCTGTTTGTTTTTAGAGATCATCATACATTTTGTTTTCTTAATATTCAGTGAAAGTCTATATCTCTGACTCACTTCTGCGATTCTATTCTTTAACTTCTGGAGGGCTTGATAACTGCCAGCGAATACCACTTTGTCATCCGCGTATCTGATGTTATTGATACATTCTCCGTTGATTCGAATTCCGGCTTCAACATTCTCTACTGCTTCTTGAAAGATTTCCTCAGAGTATGTTTTTAAAATACATATATTTTTATGATTTGTACACCTGAACTCTACAAATGCGTTCGTTTCGTGCATGAATCAAAAAACTATATTTATGAGTTAGTAAACGATTCTTCAAATTCCCTATCTACAAGAATTGGTCAATAATTACTCCTAACAAAAAATGCATAAGTTTTTTTTTTCGGATTGAGATTGAATTTTATTTTTCCTAATTACCTGCTTCTTCAACATACTCATTCCAACAATATTCTAAATTTCAGGGCAAAGTAACTATTTACAGCAGCGATTTTTCGATCTCTTCCTATCGATCTATTTTTGTGAATTAAAAACATGTTGCTCACTAGGAGCTAAATCTGGAGAATATCTCACGAATTTTTATCATTCTTATCAGACTTGTGGGCACGTTTATTATAGTGATGGGAAATAACTGTCTTCGTTACTAAATTTAAGCCATTCCACTTTGATTTTGCCTCTAAGTTATTGCAAAAGTTGGCGTAATATTCGCCATTTATATTTTCTTCTTCTGCCGTTTTTAGTGGTGGCAAAGAACCTTTACGTGTTCAGTATTTTAACTATTGTTTAGTTTTGAGGAATAAATGGGGAACTGAGGTGTCCATCGATTGTCATGAAAAAAAGAAGAGGTCCTTCAGATTATGTTGAAACCGTACGAAAACGTCGCGACAAACACTCAAATGTTTTAATGCATGCTTGTATGAGTAACTGTGTCACCCAACGACCCAACTTTCATTTATAAATATTTGGTGAAATTCTGAGCACCCTCTTTGATATACCTACTTCACAATTTCTGTTGTCTCACGCAGTTTTATTCGACAGTCATATAATATGATACGGTGGACTTCAACCGTGTTATGAGCAGTAACAGATTTTGAACCTCCACTACGAGGTTCTTGAATTTTTTTATGCAGATATTTTGAAAACTATTTTTATTTGTCGAAATTGGTGTTATATATTCCAAATGAAAGTACTTTAACACTTCTCCCTACCAAGTTTTTCAATTGTCGATTTAATTATAGGAGACTTTCACTTCTGTCAAAAACAAATTAATTCATGAATCGCTCTATACTGTCATACTTAACTTGTAAAGAATGATTCTGCACTAAATGATGGAACGATCCTCGTATCTCAAGTTTTCTGCATCATTAGTTCAAAAAAATATAAAATTGCATGGATTTGCTTTTAATCTGTTTAATGATCTCTCATTGTTGAATGTTTTTGTAGTACGTTTGTACCTTGAAGCATTTGTAGCTCGTTCTGATATTTCTATTATCATTTCTCGTTGAAATACCATACATTTCTAGATTCAAAAAATTTTACGTAGTTATCGTTATAATTAATCATATTACATTAATATTGTCTGTGACATTTTTAGGCGGATCATCTAGTAATGCCTCCCGGTACTCAAGCGCGTTTGGTCTGTGAATGGCCGCACCTTAACCTGGGGGACTTAGTCACGATCATCCGCTACGACCCAACCCAAGGATATTTCGTCCGAACCAGTTCTAGCCTGGAAGAGTTTTGGATTCCTGCTCACGTTCTAGCTAATTACAGTAGGAAACTGTGGTCTTTTAGGTTAAAGAAACCGAGAAAATCTCTGGAAGGAATCCTTTCGGAGAACCCGGACCGTTGTGTACCAGAATTTCGTGATAGACTGAAAGATATTACCGTTCAGAGTGGATCCAAGGTGGTGTTTAAGTGTAGGGTCAAGAATTGGAATAGGAACACGAGGCAAACTTGGAAGAAGATGGAACCAAATGTCGTTGTATTGCATAACGGCAAGTTTGTGCAAGGTAATTATTTTTCATACTTTTTTCTAATCAAGCGTGTTACTAAGGCTGGTCTACAACAAAACATTTAAGTATCATTAAGTTTACTTGCATGTACCACTATTCATATCTTTACTCTATTCTCTTTTACATGGAATGCTTATATTCTTATATATAAGAGCCATTGTAATGTAGCTTGTACTCCTTTGGACCTTAAATGAAGCTATAGTATTGTACCGTTTTTATACATACATGACATGTATATACCATATATATACCAAAAAGTATTATTCTCGAATCTTCTGGGGTAGTCCCACCTCTAATTCGTTGCTTGACAAATGGCGCTCATACATCGCGAAGGTTCTGGAAGCCGGAGATGAAGCCGTTTAGAGATGCAACCGTTACATGAGCCATGCCGAATGTATGTTCGTAAAAGTATGTTGTAAAAATAAGATAAAATAAGATCAATTTTCTTGAATGTCTAATAGTCGTGCATAATTTATAAACTTAATAATATTTTTGTTATGTATGAATGTATGAAAAGAATTTATGAAAATGTATGAAATTTTTTGAATGCTCAATAATTACAACTTGTTCCATAATCGATGAAATCATAAAAGTCACACTATAATAATGTCAGATCTCTTTATTGGCTTACAATTGTCTGGACAAAATTATTCTGGTTACAATAAACGAAGACCAACAAATAAATCTAATTCCTTAATGTTCATATATGTATTTATCTCATCTTCAATTTTTTTTATTGTTCTAAAGCTATTTTCTTGTGGCATTTTAAAGTAATTACTATTTAAATGGGAATAAGCCACAATTAAAGTTTAAAGTACGTTTATTGGCGTTTCAATTTCCACTTCGGAAATCGTTCTCTCAAGATACAAGCATTAGTTAATTAAACAACTTTTGTTTTTTTGTTACTTGGTGAAAAAAAAAATCTTCTAATAATTTAATTTTATCTGACTCATTTATATTGACAATTCAGGCATACATTAAACATTTTAAATTAGACGACTTTAAAATGATAATGCCAATATTGTTAGGAGCGCCTAAAAGGAAGACTTTTTAGGAGCGCCTAAAAGGAAGAAGAAAGGAAGAGCGCAGATTGCGCCGTGATGTAGACTTGACAGATAGGAATATAGAGTGACGTCACCAATTATGTTGTATTGTAAATGTAAAGTGATGTAAAATGTAAATAAGTAAATATAATAGGATCGTCGCTATGATAAGGGAAGTTTCTTCACCTCCGATTAAGTATTTATCTGGTAGATGAAAAATATGTTACATTCCTTACAGCAATATCTTTTAGAACTTTCATATTCTATATAATTTGCATACTTTTTATGCAAGTTTCTATTGTGCCGATTAAGACTTGATTGGGTCTGAAACGCTTTATTACACTCAAGACAAAACACTCCCATTTTCTTTTATTTTTGAAGAAAGAAATCTACCAATATACCAACGAATTGACAGTCAAAAAATAATTTCTTTGGTTATACGGTATACCAAAAATCACGTGTGGGTGGTGACATTACGTTAAGTTTAGAAACTGATTGGTGACGTCACGGCACGATCTGCGAAGTCCTCCTTTTAGGTGCTCCTATATTGTTGAGTTGCGTTCCTGGGACGACTTTACTTGTAAGATAGTTCATTCGATTACATGAAATCAACTTTAACTTGAAATTATTAAAAATCATAGCATGTAATTCGTCTTTAAAAAGACAAACACATGCCTAGATGACAGTAAAACTCTCCTGTTAGTGATTCCATAATAAATTATGAGGGAAAAACCTCATAATACTATCCCGACATGGTAAATATTTGGTGGTGCATTTAGTTTACTTTCAATAAACACCAAAGTCTATTCACCAAAATGTATTCTCAATATGACCTCATGGATCACAGTTGTTGGACACACTCCTGAATAATATAAACGATAAAGAAGAGACAATAACATAAGAATATAATAACACACTACCTTTCCTGGATGTTTTAATCTCTAAGAACGATACTGGATATGAAACTCAGGTGTATAGAAAACCAACACTTACCAACAGATATTTAAATTTCAAATCAAATCACAATATTAATATTAACTAGGGAATCATTAAATCTTTATACGATAGAGCCAAAATTGCTTGTTCTAACGAAAATTCGTTCTTGGAAGAAAAACATTTGTTAACATCTGTTTTATTAAAAAATTATTATTATCCTTTATCGTTTACAAATAAGGAATTTTCAACAAAAAAACTTAAAAGGATAGGAAATAAATTCAATATTTCAACAACATTCACAACAACAAACACATTGAGATATATTTTGTCTAAAACCAAACCTAACAATGGACAAGAAAGGACAAAGAATTTTATTTATAAAATACCTTGTGAATGCGATCAGTTTTATTTAGGTGAAACATCAAGGCCATTAAATGTTAGAATAAGTGAACATCAATCTTGTATTAAAAATAGAGAATTTGATAGATCTCAAATATGTAAACACGCATGGGATAATGAACATAGGGTTCAATAGAATGATTCAAATATAGTCCTAAAAGAAACGGATGGTAAAAAGAGAAAAATCAAAGAAACGACTTCAATTATGCTAAATGAGACCAATTGTGTCGCAAATTCCTCGGCAGAATGTAGTAGGATCTGGTTACCCATATTAAAAGAGGAAGTTATTAAAAGGAAAATACCAGTATCAGTAACTCAGTAACGTATAGAGGATGCATCATTTATGTTTTTTAAATAACATATAAAATTAGAATTTGGTGTTTATTGAAAGTAAACTAAATGCACGACCAAATACTTACCATGTCGGGATAGTATTATGAGATTTTTCCTGGGTTTTCCTTCATAATTTATTATGAAACTACCAAGAGGAGAATTTTACTGTCATCATGGCATGTCTTTGTCTTTTTAAAGACAAATTACATCCTATGATTTTTTCTGACGGATAATCTCAAGTTAAAGTTGATTTCATGTAATTGAATGGCAACAATATCGGCAATATCATTTTAAAGTCGTCTATTTTAAAATGTATAATGTATACCTGAATTGTCAATATAAATGAGTCACATAAAATTAAATTATTAAAAGAATTTTTTATCAAGTAACACAAAAACAAAATTTGTTTAATTTACTAATGTTTGTATTTTGAGAACGATTTCCGAAGTGGAAATTGAAACGTCAATAAACGTACTTTAACCTTTAATTGTGGCTTATTCCTATTTAAATAGTAATTACTTCAATTCTTTTAACAATTGGCGGTAGAACAGTTTTTATGGTATACACGGCAAAATAGTAGTCTAAAGTTGAATATTGCCATTATAGGGCAAACATAGGTACTAAAATATACATAACAAAATAGTTGCATTTCCGAGAAATTACTTAATGTTACTCTTGAAATATATTATAATATTTTAATAGTTTAATTATAATGTATTATATTAATAGTTTTTATCTATCTCCGAATAAATTCATAATCCGCAACTTATTTTTGATGACATGAATAAAAAACGATCCAATGCTAAATCAGGGATGACACGCAGATGACATTTCCTTATTTTCAGTGCTAAAAGTCACTAACTTTTTATAAAAACCAATTCAACATCCTGCATTGTTGTAGATTTTTTTTACTGTAGAGTATTGAATAATAAGTAACATTTATATTAACTAAATTATTATAGGTGATAACGAAGGAGGCATAGCGTTGATGGTGATAGAAAACGCCAGAGCTTCAGATGCAGGTACCTATTGCTTGACAGTATCCAACGAATTCGGGAGTATCACATGTACGGCCAAATTGTCCATCACAAGCAGCTATCCTCCTATACCAGAACCGAAAATTCAAGTCATATCGTGTTCAAGTGTTTCGTTAGAGTGGGAAAGCAACCATTACTCTCAGTTTATAGTGGAATATTGCAAATTGGGTTCCGGCGAATGGATTTCCCCCAATAACAACCACCCGTAAACTCACACTCTTTCACAGTTGAGAATTTGATTCCTGGGGAAACTTACAGTTTTAGGATCGTGTCTGCTCAGAACAACGTCGTCAGCTTGCCTAGTATTGCCGTGACGTTGCCTGTGGCGGAAAATTTGAGATGGCAGCAGGAACAGTTTAAGCAAAGGTAAGTGAAATTTCTAGGTTAAAAGAACTGTAAAAATATTTGTTATAGTGAGTAAATTCTATTATCAGCTAGATAAAATAAAGGTTAGGGTGATAAAAAAAGTAAAAATGAGAATAGGATATCAAATAGGAGACGATGCAGCCCTGATAAGAAAAATGAGGAATTACAAAGAAGGCTACATCAGTTTAGCATGAAGGCTAAGGATTAAAGCTTGGCAAAAGCACCAATAAAATGAAATTTAAATATCTCGGAATCACTTTATTAAGTGACAACAATATCGGGAAAGAAGTTAGGGAAGAGGTAGAACAGCAGGATGCCTTAACGACAAGGTATGGGGAACCTAACCTAACCTATGCTGAAACGAGACCAGAAACTGACACAAAAAGAAGATAGCTGGAAACAAGTGAAATGAGAATACTAAGAAAAATAACAGGAAAGACACATAGCCCGAAATAAGCCCCCTAAGATAATCGAAGTTAACCTAGAAAGAGGTGGAATGACAATATTCCAATCGAATAATAAGCAGTGTCGAAGAAAAAAGGGCAATGTGCCTATATTGAAGTGGAAGAAGAAGCTAGAAATTATAACAAATTTAAGAGTCATTGTTCACAGTATCTTTTTGTAGATTGAAGATAAAGAGGTTGTTTGGTCTCGCTCGCTGGTTATAACGAAGCATGTCAAGTTGATCATACTGTGTGGAAATTATCACAGTCTGGTACTGTATGATTTATTATGTTTAATGATATATTATTGACGATTTTAGGTACATAGAGTTAGAAGAAATAGACCGAGGAAGATTTTCGATCGTCCGTTTAGCAAGAGACAGGGGGACCGGAGAAGAAGTAGCATTGAAACAAATTTCTCGACGAAAACAGTCTCATCAGGTGACCCAAGCGGAGTATTCGCTGTTAGCAGGAATGCAACATTCCAACATCATCAGATCGTTGGCTTTGTTTGATAATGCTCCATTACCTGGCATCGATACGATCATATTGGAATTGTAAGTATATATTTGTTGAATTCTTAGGTTTCTGCATAAATGTTTCAAATTTTCGAATGACTCTAGATTTTCTCCATAAGATTCTTTAAATTTTCTCCATTTTTCTCCGCTTTTTAAGGTCATTCTGTAAATTTCTGAATGACTGGTTTCGTCTCACGTTTCTAGAATCATTAATTAGAGCACGTCGGCAGACAGCGATTTTTAGACCTCTAATCTGTTTCTCTAATCATTTTTACCAGTAGTTCCATTCCATCTACTACCAATATTTACCAACTTGTCGGTTCCTCGTGTTCTCGTCTACGCTATCTTTTCATCTTGTAACGAAAATATTTTGCGTACCACATGGGGTAATAATACAAAGGGTAGAAAATTGGGGGGAGAAACTATTGGGGGTGGAGATAAGGCAAGCAAAATAAACGCTACTTATGCGAACGGCACTCAGGGTTTCGTAGGAGAGCTGGGGTCGTGGATAAGTAAAAGATAAGGGCATTGGAATGGGGCAACTACAAAGAAATGAAATATAGGGGTCATTAATTTCTTGGAACAAACACAATAAAAATAAACAAGAAACACCTCAAGGAATTTAATATAGGGCGCCACTTGAGGTGCCTAATTATGCCTATTACAACCACTGGTTGTAACTAGGAAAATAATTAGAAAACAAATCAAAACATAAAAAACGTATCTTTTTCAAATAAAAATCAAAAAAGGTTTGGCTCAAAAAAATAAATAAAAAGTTAAGACAACAAAATTTAACATTTGTTTATGTGTCACCACAAACAGTTACAAAATGGAGAAATACAAAATACAAAAACTTACGTGTCATCCGCTTACAAACTCCAGGAGTTGGAGATACTACATAATCTTAAAAAAATTATATGGAGGTTAACCTTGTTTAAAAATAAAACAAACTAATAGTCAAAAAAAAATAATAAAAAACGAGCTGTCACAAGTTAACATTAAATTTAAAAAAAAAAACTAAAGACACAAATTGACAGCTCAACTCAAAACCTAAAATTTACAATTTTAAATGTCAACGAAAGCAATTATTTAATTCAAAACAAATTGTCTGACTTTACTTTAAAATTTGATCAAAAAGTTACCTGGATTTTCACTAACAAAATGCACTAGAATTTGTGGAACCAGACGCCACTGGAATATCCGACACCATAACTGGAACTGAGAGCTTTACTCTCTGTGTAATGAACACAACTAATCTATCTCCATATCTTCATATCTCGAACAAATCTATCTCCATACTGCCAAAAGCCTTGGATGATAACCAGGGAGAAACAAAACGAGGATGGAATCGACGATGCTTTCATTCCTCACTCAAACATTTACTGAACCATTAACTTCACACTGCTACACATTTTCTTCATAAAAAAAGACGAACAAACGTCTTCATAAAAAAACACAAACAACGAGGAACATTTCGAATTTGAAGTCAAATTCGGACATAACGTTGACCGCTTTTCACCGCGGCTCCAACGATAGTCACGAAATTAAAAATTTTTTCGCTTAACTTGAATATAAACAAACAACGGAAATAAAAACGTAGATATCTTTTTGCGAGGCATAAACTTAAAAAGAATTTGCCGAAATAAAATAAATAAACAACTCTAAAATGGTTTATTTCAACTTGGCCGACCTAAGAAAGAAATAAAAAGATATTTGGGTTTAAATACATACGAAATATTTTTAGATCTATCAAAAATATATAAGGTGATTTTAATATTTCGTATACGAGGGGACTTTAATATACTTAAAAGAATCAATGAAATTGAAAATGCTACAATCTCTTGGCCTGCGTCCAGTTCTATCTCGCCCAGCGTCTAATAATAGCGTCCTGGAGAGAATTTTCATTCCTTCTTGACAGTTGTTATGCCCATCTTTGCCCTAATCTTATTGGTTCCCGTGTCTCATCTTTCCCGTGACATTTGTAATTCTACGATTCCCCCTCCAATATTCCATTTCAGTGGCTATAACTCTTTTTCGTTTTTTTTTGAGTATCCAGATTTTTGCCTTATAACTCGGACTATTGAGTAGAAAATGTTTGTTTTCGTGTTCTGTGTGACATTGATGTCCCATAACACCAGATGTAACTGCTTGAAACAAGTTCTTTTTATGCCTAGTCGACTTTTTACTGCTTTTTCTGTTGTTGCTAGATATTCTGATTTCTGAAAACTTATTTCTAGACTATTCTTCGAGTACTTTGCTTTCAATTTGCTGACCACAAAACTTTTTCCTCATCTTGTACCATTATTAACTGATCGTCTGCAAAGTTTAATGTGTATATATGGTCATCTCTCAACCCCTTTGTTGTCTTAAACCAATTTGAAAATTTCGTTCCCATCATTACTATATTACTTCTACACATGTTTTTCACTGCTGTTATTATCAACTGTTGGGTATATCCAAATCCTCCATAGCGTTCCACAAGTTGGCTTTTGGTAGTGACTTAGCCTTTTTTTACATCTATAAATTTACAGTGGATTGCCCTGTTTCTTGCCATTTTCTTTTCGAATACTCGTTGGACCGATAATTGGTCAACAGAGGCCCGTTCTGCACTAAACCCTGCTTGGTCTTCGCCAATTGTACCACTGATATCTTCTTTTAGTTTTAACAACTTTGCAATACAATCGACCCATTGATGAGATTATACTAATTCCACTGTAATTTTCACGGTCTCATTTTTTAAATATTTATGTAATGTAAGCATATTTGTCCACTCTTCAGATAGTTTTTCCCCATTGATGGCTTTTTGAAACAATGGACGTATTATGCGATATCATTTTAAGCTACTCCTCCAGATCTAGCAAATTTCGTATTTTAATTCCGGCTTTAGCTATGTTTTGTTTTTGTACTCCATTCCAACAGTGAAAGACTCCGGAATTGTATTAAATAATTAATATTAACTGAAACATATTAACTGTTCCAGTTAATACACCACTTCGCTTCATTTGCAACACGATACAATTTTCTCTTATATCTTGCAATTGCTTTTCGTATGGTTTTCTTCCTGTTAAAATATTATAAAATATTAGTTATAACACTTGATTATGTTAGAATTTTTATTACAATGTGTAGTTAAGATGAATCTTTATTTTTTACAGAGTCAAAGGACCTTTATTATTTAAGTATATTAGTGATAAAGAAACTTACAGTGAGTCAGATGTAAGAAACTATACGTATCAATTAATATCTGCCTTAAAATGGCTGCACCAAAAAAGTATTGCACATCTAGATGTTAAGGTAAGGCTTAAAAAGAGTATTTTTTTTATATCGGTATTTAATTTCCTAAACAGAGACTACAGTAGTTTTAGCTTTTCTTATCATAAAAGTTACAATCTGCTGTTTTGGTTGGTATTTTATTAATTTTTTTTGTCATTGCAAGTTTTTATCGTAGACTTGTGACCAAATAGATTTATAATAATATAGTCGGTTCGCTATTCCCTGCTCGAACTGTCTAGTGAATTTAGTAATTATTTTTTGCGAAGTTAGTTACTTTTTGACATACTAAAAGTGGCTGGAAATTACTATACAACCAAACACACGTACTCATAGCCAATGTTAATAGTAAACAAACTAAATAGTAAATAAAATTACGATTATTATAAAAGTACGAATTACCGACTATCAATGTTTATTTGTTTGCATCATATAATAAATAGTTATGTTAAATTATAACAACTGAAATATATTTTTTAAATATATTCTACCCAAAATTTTATATGTTTAGTATACACTTCCACTATTTCTAATAATTCTTCTTTTTTCAATGAAAGAAGTCTATGAGCTAGAAGCTTTTGTGTTGTAGGTTTCCAGCTATGAATCAGTTTCGTCACAGTCCCGGTGCCGAATCGGTCCCGTCTGGTCACAGAACTATTCGTTCGTCTATTCGCACACACCCGAAATGCATCAGTCTTCTTCGACCAATCTGTTGAAAAGATGAAAATTTTCTCGGGATGAAGAATTAGCAATAATTGTTATAAGTTTTGACGTGGAAGAAGAAGAAGAAGCGGAAGCAAACCAAGCAAAAAGACGGAAATGGATCCATGACGCATAGAAAAAAAGGGATACCGAAGGAGAATACGTGACACTGTGTAAAGAACTGGATGTCGAAAAATTTTAGGAATTTTAGGATGTCGAAAAATTACTTTCCTGCCAAATATTATTTTGTAAATTAATGTCCATGTGTATTGCATGCGACAAATCATATCAAACATTTTATTTCCCAAAAACATTCTATTAATTGTTCGTCAATAATTTTATTTTATTCACTTGTACGGCCGTCATGTTCCCGGCAAAAGAAATTCGTCGCTGAGATTATAAAATCGGTCGGGCGATAGACGTGTCGAAACCTGACTGCTGGGAAACTGATCTACTGGTCAACTGATGAATGTGAATGCCAGCGGCATATTTCTATTAAAGAATATTTTGTATGACGGATTGTTCGGTTCGGCGCCGGGACTGTGACGAGACGTGACTGATGATAGACCTTAAAGATCGATTCAAATACATCAGTCACGTCTCGTCACAGTCCCGGCGCCGAACCGAACAGTCCGTCATACAAAATATTCTTTAATAGAAATATGCCGCCGGCATTCACATTCATCACTTGACGAACAGTTTCCCAGCAGTCAGGTGGGACTCACACGACTGGGAACACGTCTGTCGCCCGGCCGATTTTATAATCTCAGTGACGAATTTTTTGGTTTTGCCGGGAACATGACGGGCTATACAAGTGAACAAAATAAAATTATTGACGAACAATTAATAGAATGTTTAAGAAAATATAATGTTTTATATGATTTATCGCATGGAAAATACATGAACAATAATTTTAAAAATAATATTTGGCAAGAAAGCAATTTTTCGACATCCTAAAATATTGATGAAATTTTACATCATCACGAAGCAGTTCTTTATACAATGTCATGTATTCTCCTTCGGTATACCTTTTTTCCATGCGTCATGGATCCATTTCCGTCTTTTTGCTTGGTTTGCTTGCGCTTCTTCTTCCTCGTCCAAAAATATAGCAATTATTGCTAATTCTTTATCCGAGAAACTTTTCATCTTTTTAACAGATTGGTCACCAAAGACTGATGCATTTCGGGTGTGTGCGAATAGATGAACGAATAGTTCTGTGCTGTTCTGCCCTCGACAATCTCATGACAATGTGCGAAAATGTCAACGTCAAAATTGAATTAAGTGCAACGATTGTATAGCGAAGTACTCAAAATACCTGTTTCAAAGTTACATTTCCAACCTGATGAGGTTCTAAACATATTTAGCTTTCATAATCTGTTCTCTTTATTTTTAAGTTACAGTTTTTGTTCACCTTTTGTTCTTTTTGTTATTATATTATTTAGCACAGCAGCAGTTTACCGAATTCACAAGAATTTCCATATCTTCTTTAGCTTCATAATAACATTAATGGGAGTCTATCCTCTGTAAAATTGAAAGTTACAATGGTATAGATTTAGAACGAGAAAAATGTTTAAAAAATATACTAGATACTATTAAAGTACTCTTTTATAGTAAATTTATGTTTTTTTTTTAGCCCGAAAACGTAATGATCGATATAACCGTTCCCATCCCCCTATTAAAATTAGTAGACTTCGGAGACTCAGTCAACACCTCCAAGAATGTCATCTTGCCACCAGCTTGCCTCGAATTCGCCTCGCCTGAACTGGTTCTCGGTCAACCAGTTGGAGTCCACACTGACTGCTGGGCTGTAGGAGTGTTTCTCTATGTCATGCTCAGCGGAGTATCTCCCTTCCTCGACGACTCAGTGGAAGAAACCACTGCGAATATTTTAAAATGCGATTTTTGTTTCCCCGATGAGTATTTTGGAGACGTATCGCAAGAAGCCAAGGATTTGACGAAGAGTTTGTTGGTGCTAGTTCCAGCGCAAAGGTTGAATATGGAGAAAAGTCTTCAATGTGTTTGGATAAAAGAGGTAATATTAAGTCAGCTATTATTAACACTAACTTCTTTATTTATACCACATTTACCGAGCTCTTGCTGTCTTCACATCTAGTTATAAGGAGTAGTTATATATTATAGTTTTAGGTTTGCTAGTTCTTGGTCTTGCTTCATATTTATTGTTTCGACAATGTTTAATTTATACTATAGATTAAATGTTTTTTCTTTTTCAAATCAATACTTTGTCAGTGTTTGGCCATTTTTATTAAGTATAGAATTATTAAGTGATTCCTAAAGTATATTTGTACAAAATTTCAACAAGAACGTGCTTATTGTGGTAGCAACAATAATAAAACTATCACGTGTACTCGTTAAGATATTTTATTCCAAGCTTTTGAGTGTACATATACCATCAATTAACTACATAAAATGATAAAAATAATAATTAGTCAATCTCAAGTACATCTTAAAAACTTTAATACTTACACCTTGTGAGGTTATGTCTTACCCGATGTACGGGTAAAATATTACGATAATGCATCTAAGTACATAGTAGTTATATTAATATTAAAATCATGAATGTGTTGCTTGTGCGAGTCCATTTCCAATAGGTAAAGAAATAATAAATAAGACTTACTCACAATCAATTTAATTTAACTATCAGACGACCGGTTTCGCTTTCTACAATATGCAAAGCATCTTCAGGTCTCAATACAAAGTTAAATAAATGATGCCGGTACTCTATTAATTGATGGATTGTAGAACATGGTTGAAACTATCATGTATTGTTAAATGGAGACCTTAAGTCTGCTATTGTAGTTGTTTGACAATAAACGGGAAGTTCTTGAGGAGATAGATTTGATTCAATGAAATAGAGATAGGTGTAATGTGATTGTTTGTTAGATGAAAGTGATGTTATATACCATTGTATTATTTAAATTTTAATTTTAATTTTTTTTTGTCTCATTGTCTCTCAAATCTCAAATCTGAAAAAAAAACTCATTCTCTCCAAGACTGAGATGTAGTGCATAAAAGTTCTTCTCTCTCCCCTTTAAATTTTATGTTTGTTTCGTCCCTTCTGTGTTTTATGTTCCTGTGTGTTTAAATTGTCCTTAATGGTTATAATTTTTATATACTTGAGTTTGCAATAATCTATCATTTTGCCAATAGAACTTTATCAAAGAAATTTGATAATTACAAGTTGAAAGAATTGAACACCCACACAATTTGTACATCTAATCTTATTCATTGTCATAAAACTGTCACCTTCATAAAATAAATACTCAATAAATAACACACATTTCATAAATATATCTCTTGAATATGTATATATATATATATATATATATATATATTATATATATATATATATAAATAACTTTTAAATAATACAATGGTATATAACATCACTGTCATCTAACAAACAATCACATTACACCTATCTCCTCAAGAACTTCCCGTTTATTGTCAAACAACTACAATAGCAGACTTAAGTTCTGCATTTAACAATACATGATAGTTTCAACCATGTTCTACCATCCATCAATTAATAGAGTACCGGCATCATTTATTTAACTTTGTATGGAGATCGGAATATGCTTTGCATATTGTAGAAAGCGAAACCGGTCATCTGATGGTTAAATTAAATTGATTGTGAGTAAGTCTTATTTATTATTTCTTTACCGATTAATATTAAAGTAAGATGTACAAAATTATAGCTCTAAAAGGCAGACATTCTTGATGTGTCACATTTTTGAAGCAATTGGTAGTGTATGTCATAGATGAGAGAGAAAGACAGTGTACCCATTGTACTCTTTGATTCACGGAACCTTAAAGACATACAACGTCATTGTCACTATCCCGTCTGGCACGTTCCTTAAGTGGATATTTGAAACGGTCCTATGAGTGCGTGTGCTATTCAAGGTCGATAAGACCAATCACAGCACAAACTTTCAACATTTCATCGACTTCCAAATGAGAAAACAATTTGTAACTAGCTGTTTAATTTTCTTTTATTTTGAAAATGCAAGATTGGCAGTAGAATCCTCACAAATGTCTCATATAATGATAAAGAAATTGATTATTATGATGTAATCATATGTCGATATCTCAACAAATTACTCACTATGTTTGTGTGGAACCAACGGTTTTAACAAGCGCTTACAGTTAATGAGAAAAGACTACAAGTGTATCGTAGAATCGTTGATCCACATCCCATTCGTGTTTGAATCGTTGTCAATAGAGTGCTATGACGCCATTTCAGCATCCTTTCTTCATCACACTCGAGCTGATACAAAATCAAACATGGAAAAGCCAACGAATGTCTCCTGCTTATTTCCCACTTCAAGTGGTTAACGTACAAAGATGCAATCTATTTTGATGGACATAAACGACGATTTAATAATATCGTTTTCTGTCCTTTGTGCTAAACCAAATTTACAAAAGTTTACATCTTTCAGCAAAAGGTTGCGATCGCTTTGATGAATTGAAAAGCCAAATATATGACGCAGGAGCACAGTTCGTTAAACGTTCCGTCTTTGAATCGGTATTTTCTTTCTCTTAGTCTGTCTTCGGTCTAACTCTACTAGACGAGTTGTCAACAAAGACTGTCGTATCATACTGTGAACAAACAGACTTAGAGAGAAACGATATGTATTCATGCTTTCTAGTATATAACATGCCATCTTAAATCAGTTACACACGACAGTTATAACTATTATAATTATATAAAGGACAGAAAACGACAGGCAGACACTCTGGATTATACAACTGATTTTGTAGCATGTAATTGATTTAGAGTGGCATGTTGTATACTAAAAAGCATGAATACCAGTCGTTTCTCTTTTACTTCTTTTACTTTTACAATAACATGTTTCGTTTTTGTTGAGAACAGATTAATAGAAAGAAGCGCAAGCACGTAACATTTTTATTTAATTTAATTTTATAAATTATTTAAATCTTTCTTTTGTTTATAGGCTATCGGTTCTGCATCTATTCCGTCAGCACGTCTAAAAATGTTCATGCAGCGAAGACATCCCATGAATCTTGCACCCTCGAACTTGAATTATTATAAAGAAGATGCTCTTTAGTCCCAGTCGTAGATTATTTGTAAATATATTTTAATTTGTGACCAATTTGATTATTTCCGTTTTAGCTTGTTAATCAATCGTATATATTTATAATTATATTTTACCTATACATAAATAAACGAACTTTTGTTTAATTTTGTACTTTTATTTTTATTTTGTGTGAAATTATGCGCTGGCTGGTAAGACAATCGATAAAGTTGATAATTGCAGATGTCAACGATATCACTAATGGAACTTATCGAGTGTGCCAGAAGTCAATCAGTGAGATTGTCAAACATCGTCGATTACAAGAAATTTTAAATGTGTGATGTGAAGAGGTGTGAACCGAGACAACAACGGATGAGGATACAGAATAGGAAACAAAGACATTAAATTCTCTGTTACGCAGACGACGCAATATTGAAAGCCGAAGATGAAGATAGTCTGCAAAGACTGGTTTACAGATTTAACATAAGAGCAAAAGAATTAAATATGACAATCTCATCTCAGAAAACTAAAACAATAGTAATCAGCAAAGAACTCACCAGATGTAAAATAGAAATTGATGGCATCAGTATTGAACAAGTAATTGAAATAAAATACCTTGGAATTACACTGTCCAGCTATGGATAACTGGACAAAGAAGTGATATCAAGTACAAAAAGCAAATAGACTGGCAGGTTGCCTTAATAAGACTATAAGGCGAAACAACCACATTGAAACTGAGATGAATTCAAGAATTTATAAAGCCAGTGTAAGACCAATAATGACATATGCCTCAGAAACAAGACCCGACATAGCAACAACACAAAGGCTACTAGAAACGGCAGAGATGAGAGTACTGAGAAGAATTGCAGGAAATACGCTGAGAGTTCGAAAGAGAAGTGAAGACATTAAAAGAAAATGTTACGTACAGTGTATAAACTAATGGATACTAAATAGAAATAAAGAATGGAATAACCACAAGCAGAATGGAGGAGATCCATGTGGGTCATAATAGCAAAACATAAGTCACCAATTGCCAGAAGAAGTATCGGACGTCCGCGCAAAAGATGGATTGACAGAGGATTGACTTGATAGAGGTATTAGTCCTCCAATGAACAAGCAGAATTGGTTATAAAGAGAAACAAGAAGAATTCGGCCTGAATGGTAGTTCTTCTCGTATTGAACAATGTCAATAATAGATTGCCTTGCTCAATATGGATGGAAGACTAGGACGTTTAATGTAAGAATTTAAGATGGAAATAAGTTCCGCATTGAGTGACTTTCTAAAAAAGACTGATTTTGACCCAGATATTAAAAATCTAAGATTGTTTTCGGATGGATGTGGGGGTCATAATAAAAATTCCCACATTGTAGATGCACTCACCTTGTGGCTTTTGAATAATGAACCAAAAACTATTAAAACAATTGCGATGAAGTTTCCCGTTCATGGCCATTCGTTTATGCCAGCTGATCGAGTTTTTGGTCAAGTTGAGCTGGACTTACGTGCCCGTACTTTTATAAAGCAGACAAATATGAAATCTATTCTAAGAAAAAACAAGTACGCAAGCTGGACTCTGATATGTATGACATAAAACATGCAGCGCTTTCACTTAAAAAAGTTATAGGTATCAGTGGATCCAAAAGAATAATCCTAACTCGAGGTAAACAAACTGCTGGAGACATCTTGTATAAAACAGAGGTATTGTATAGAAATGATGACTCTTCTAAAAAGTATTCAAGTTTAATTCAACCACAGAAAAAACTAAGTAACATAGTACTGCCGGCATTGCCAATGAAGCATGCTGTTAAGAAGAAAAGACTGATTAGTTTATCAAAATTTGTAATTAGTTTATCAGGCAAAGAATGGGCATTAGATTCAGAGTTAACTTGGTTAGATCCAATTTTGAAAGAGCGGTATCGTGAATATACAATTGAAAAAAGACCAAACCTGCGATCAATGTGAAGATAGAGAAGAATGATGCTGTATGCTGGAGGACGACATACATGTCATTTGATTATTTTTACTATATTGCATTTCAAACACGTAGAAATGCATTTTCAGTTCATATTTTTATTTTAAAAATTTCATCATCATCACCTTTGGCTCTACAATCCTGGGTGAGTTAGCCTGTTCAAGAATTAGTCTCCATTCCCCCCTATCTTTCGCCCTGGCTTTCCAATTTCTGACCCCTACATTCCTCAAGTCATCCTCGACTTGAGTTTTGAATCTAGATCTTGGCCTGCCTCTTCCTGGTTTCTACTGACTCTTGATAGATATCTGTCTTTGGGGGTCTCCAGTGTCCATTCTTTCAAGGTGTCCTAGCCACCTTAGTCTATTAATTTTAATAGACCGGACGATGTTGCATTTTTTATAGCATTATCTTAAAAATTTAAGGACAGTTAAACTACATTTTGTCATTCAAAGACAACCAAATGGCGTTTTGTCCATCAATATTTTTTTTTAACTAATAAAGATTGATGAAACTTATAAATAGGATAAATTGATAATAAAAAGGTAGATTTCTTCATATTTTGTGATTTTATTTTAACTTTATTAATAATTGAGTAGCAGTTTTTCTCCCTTCCTGAAAAATGTTAAAAATGGACAGTGTCATATGAAAGTCTGCTACTCATCATCAATAACTGACACAACTGTCAGCTAATAGGTGTATAACTTTTTGTATGTACCTCCAGCTGACACCATAGTTCTACCCTTAAATTTATGGAAATGATGCTCTAAAACTATTTACTTCTATGTACCTATAATTGTATAGGAGGTACTTATATTTGTCATTCATTAACTTACCTACTTTTAATATTCAATTTTCACTCGTTAACAACGAAAATCGAAATCCTTTTTCTTAATATATTTAGCAAGCCAAGACAACAAAATTTCCTTTCCTTTAACATCACGATAATGAAAAATATGTGTATATAATAATGGCGTACTTGAAAAATACGTCCCACGGAAAGTAGATTCATCATGTAACTCGTTAGTAAGGGAGTAATTTGTTGTTTCGGCGTTGTCAAAATGTGTATATTTTTCCTATTTTCCCATATATTTTTAGAAAAAATGTCAAATACGTATTAGGGGGATGTCAGAAACTTACGTTGTTATACTTATCAAAACTGCGTAATTTTCAATCTCATTCACATCATATTGTTGGATATATTTTTGAATAATAGCGCTTGTTACTCGTTACTATAAAGCTACGCGGACTTCGAAATGGTTAGAACAGAATATGCTTAATTATATACAGGGAGAAAATAAAACCATCCCGCAGTTGTCCCACCAACAAGGCCAGTGGGAAAAAAGCACTTTAGAAGTTATAATATGTATTACAATCCAAATTTAGCAGTGAAGATAACAACCAATATATTAAAAAAATACATATTACAACGTAATATGAGATTAATTGACAAAATTACCAGGATTTGGAGACCGTGATCCGCTACTGTTACAGATTGATGTTTTTTTTTTGTCAAAATATGTTGAATTAACGGTTAGTATTATAAGTTTAATCAAAACGTGTTTCTAACGGTCAAAATCAAAACGTAACTACATTTTTAATCTTAAAATATATCTCGTAAGCGTAAGTAAACTAACAAATATAAAAGAAAATTAGTAAGTATTCGTATACGTAAATAAATTCTCGTGATTTTGACGAATTATGACGTATTACCTCCTAACGTACCTATAGGGCTTAAACGTATATCGAAATAAACGAATTAGCACATTAATTTGTAAATTGAAATAAAATCAAGGTCGAAAGTTTCATTTCTATACAGTTTAACCCCAAGAGAAAGAAAAGCGGGCTGCGATCAATAAAGCCCGAAAATAGGCCGGGCTAACGCGCCTGTTGCTAGGCAACCCATTTTACTGCCGTGACACACTGACCTCATTTTCGTTCCACAAAGACTTCGTGGATAAAACAAGGATATTTTTTATCTTTTGCGTTTGTGGACCATATTTTGCGATTTATTGTTGATATTAACTTTCTTTTTGTATATAAATTTGTCGTAGACATAACGTTAACCAATAAAGTTTTGATTCATTCCCGTCATAAAAGTACCTACCTACAATTAATTAATGATTTGAAACAAAATAGAATTTATGGTTTTAATAAAAATTTATTATTATACAAGAAACATTTCGGTAATAGACATAGAAATTAAGGCATATAGAAAAGATTTTTATCGAAATATTTAATAATTAGGTATATTGTAGGAGGCTTGTTCAATTGAAACCCATATTTGGCACGGAAAAAAATTATTGGCAAATATATCTACAAATAATTACCATTACAATTAACCCACATACCCCATTGTTTCACAAATCGATGTATATACACAACTTAAATAATTCTTGTGACCGTTGTTTGAAGCGTAAGACAGCATTAAAACGGATCAGATGTGGAATGCAATGGCAGAACTTTCAGTTCCAAAAAAACTTATCCAGCTTGTTAAGTTATGTATGAATAGCTGTAGATCCAGAGTACGGATAGGAAACAAACTCTCAGCATCTTTCGAAATAACCAGTGACCTGAAACAAGGAGATGTGCTGTCACCTCTCCTTTTTAATATCTTCCTGGAGAAAGTAGTAAGAGCAGCACATCTTAAAACAGAATTACTGACAGTAAATGGACCAAAATTACTACTAGCATACGCAGATGACATTGACATTGTGGGAAACATAGAAACATAGTAAAACCTCAACTTCATAGAAGACTCGAGAACACAAGGGTGTCACGAGAACTCCGAATTTGCATTGGAAAAATCTTGCAAACTCCGTTGCCCATTGCTATGAATGAAAACAATTTAAACAAAAGAAAACACTATGGAAAGTGTCCTAGGTCTAGAGATGTGAAAACTGTATCCTCTTGCAAATATTGTAATACACTGGTACTGGTGTCATTTCTTAACAAGTATGACTTTTTAGAATTGCTATTATTTTTTTTATAAGAATGTGCTTTCAATTTGTGGTTTTGAAGATTAACTGTTAAATTCTCAACAAAATTTGTTTTAGTTACCAATTAAGTTTATGCTTGTCAAAATAAAGGGTTTTATTCAGAATGTGTTAAATAATCATGTGATAATCAAGGTAGCTCTAATATTTTTTTATTTGTAATTTAAAGTAATATGAAAATACACAGTATGTAAACAATTATTC